ATAAGAAAGAAAAGTAATTCAAGTGGCAAGCGTGAAAGATTTATGTAATTAAAGTGACCAAACATGTAATTTAGCTTAATAGACTCCTTATATTTTATGCATATAACATAATATTCCTGGTGGGGCAGGTTTGGGTATAGGTATGGGGCGGGGGAGTCCAAAATATACCCGCCCCATACCCATCAACCTTTTTGCAGGTTTTACCCATACCCACCCCATACCCAGTCAAAGTGGGGATTCCCCGCGTTGAATGGGTCAAAGGCGGTCAGGTACCCGCGGCCATAGATTTGGTTGCCATCCCTTGTTTAATCGGGAAAATAATTACTCTCATAATTAAATCACGTTCTGCTAAGATAATTAACTCACATTATCTCCTGAATATTCCTTTTATTGATTATCTTACTTATTTTTTCGTAGTGAGAAAAGATACTAGATATTTAATTTAAAATTTCATTTATATCTTTTGAAACTATTAATCTCAACAACTTCGAGTTTAGTTATTGTATCAAAGGAGCTAACAATTGGAATTATTTCTCAACATCCTCTCTCTAACATAAAAACCTCTTGTCTCTCTAACTTCCTTTCTCTACGAGCTCGTATGTGGCTGTCGCGTGCGTCTTTTGGTGGCCGACAACACCATCTCTTTCTTCCTTGACTTTCTTTTATGATTTCTCCTCTACGTTATCACTTTCATTCCTTATCTGGAACTTTTCATTCCCTGTTTTCCTTTCTATGAGTTTTTTTCTCAACCTCTCTTGTAGATGGTTATGTTGATTCTTCCTAGTATGATCTCCGGATATCTAGATGTTTTGTGTATGTCTTCTAGGGAGCAAAGGGAGTTGTGTACAATTTTTCTTCACCTTTTCAGATCTCGTCACCCTCCTCCTTGCTTTACCCAACAGATCGTGATATTTTAGAGATGTCTAAGCGCCTATTGGGAAGCCTTTCAAGTACATTTTTATGGGCTTGAAGACAGGGTTATGCCTCTGTCCTTTTTCGTCTCCATGCAGTCTTAGGTTGAAGACTTCAACTCGCTTCTGGGATGTTGGATCTTGTGGAAGCTTCTGTTTTCCAGGTTCTTCCATTGCAGGCTTGTGTTGTATTTTCTTTGTGTTGTCCTTCGTTGAGCCAGAACTAGTTGCAGTTGTGGTGCAGAGGTTAGAGGAGGTGAAAGAAGATAGAGTTTGGGTATGTTAAGATTGTTATAATTCTCAATGTGGAGTTTGAGGCTTTGGCCATTTCTTTTACGTTGGGCCTTTTAATGTCTTTTGCATTCTCTTTACCTTCCATAGGTTTTTTAACCCAACTTTGTCAACCCACTTGGGTCTTTGACTATTGCATGGAACTACAATTTATTCAAAAAAATAAAATAAAATCAAAGAAGCTCACTAGGAATAAGGTTGAGATATCAATGATAACCGCAATGGCAGTTCACTTTCTCTACGAATGAGCACAAGTAATACATTGAACTCGAACTCGCCCACTATAATGTAGGTCAATGCCAAAAGTCATACCCTTTTTTATATCGTTAATGATTTTGCTATATAATGTTTTCAAAATCGAGGTGTGAAATAATATATAGTAGTAGGATGTAGTCATGTAGAGGGTGGGAATGGGTGGGAATGTTTTGTTTATTACTAAGGGTGGGCAACGGAAAACGGGTATTTGGGTATACCCATACCCGTCCCTTTTTTTAGGGTTACAGGTACCCAAATACCCGTAATTTTTTTTATGGGTTAATTGCATGGTTGGTCACTGAGATTACAAAAAACGTTCATATTTGGTCACTGTAAATATTTAAATCCAATCTTGGTCACTCAAATTAGTTAAATGGTTCAAGTTTGGTCACTCTTCGTCCAACTGCGTTAAATTTGTCTGATGTGGCAGTCAACCCTCAAAGTTGACCGTTAACTCAGTGACGTGGCAATTAAAAAATAAAAAATAAAATAAATTTTAATCTTCTACCATTTCCAACTCATTTTCACAATAAAGTAAAATAAATAAACAAAAAATATTATAATTACAAATTGAAAAGGGGCTCATCACCGACGACAACAACAACCACCACCTCTCCTCCGCCGCCGATGACAACAACCACCGCCTCCGCAGCCTGTACCAGGACCTCTCCACCATCCTCCCCCACCGACTCGGCCCCGACGATCTCCTCTCCAAGGACGTTCCCCTGACGCTGCTTGGCCACGTCGATTCCTTCCTTGGTCTTGCTCTGTTCTTTCAGCTTCTTCAGGCACATCTTGTCCCTCCACATGCGGCGCTCCAGCTCGTCCACGTCGATCTCATCCTCGTCGCTGTATTCGTCGTCCGCGTTCGGATCTGTGTCGATTTGTGGGGCGACCAGATCTTCCGCGGCGGCGGCGCCGCCGCCCATGTAAGGCGCGGAGGAGAAAAATTCCATGTCGCTGCAGAATCCCAAGTCCTCAATGGTCATCATCTTGTTCTTTCCAATCAGCTGATTAATTCTTCTTCAAACTGAAATTCACGAGAAACCCATCACCAACAAGTCAATTATTGACTGATTATAGCTAGATCCATAAAAGGAACTAATACAAAGATTGAGCCACAGATCGAAGCAAAACACAGAGTTTATGGAATGGAAGGTTCATGTCAAATTGAATGAAACAAGAGATTGTGTAGAAATTCCACGAGGGCGAGATCGTTGTTGTGCCGCTCGAGGATCAGGGGAACGTCCTTGGAGAGGAGATCGTCGGGGCCAAGTCGGTGGGGGAGGATGGTGGAGAGGTCCTGGTACAGGCGGCGGAGACAGTGGTTGTTGTCATCGGCGGCGGAGGAGAGGTGGTGGTTGTTGTTGTCGTCGGTGATGAGCCCCTTTTCAATTTGTAATTATAATATTTTTTTGTTTTATTTATTTTACTTTATTGTGAAAATGAGTTGGAAATGATGGAAGATTAAAATTTATTTTATTTATTATTTTTTAATTGCCACATCACTGAGTTAACGGTCAACTTTGAGGGTTGACTGCCACATCAGACAAATTTAACAGAGTTGGATGGAAAGTGACCAAACTTGAACCATTTAACTAATTTGAGTGATCAAGATTGGATTTAAATATTTACAGTGACCAAATATGAACGTTTTTTGTAATCTCAATGACCAACCATGCAACTAACCTTTTTTTTTATTGATCAGCCAAATAATTAAGCATAGGTTTGATTAGTTATTTCTTAGAGAATCCAAAGTTCGGGAAAGAGAGAGAGTTGATGGTTGCTGCTCAAAAGCAGCAGGGTAGCAGTGCGAAATGTGAGCCATTTTTTGTACAATTACACCGTTTGACAGAATGTCCCACTGTGAATAACAATTTTGAATTATTTAGTGAATATGGTAAGAAAGAAAATGAGATAGTCAATCCATTAACGAACTAATAAGTGACCAGTTGTAGACGATATATACTTCGCTACGGAGCAGCTGCAGTCGGAAGGAAGAGGCAACAGCCGGAGTGGAGGTGATGGAGGAGCTCATCAGCCTTGTTCGTTGAGCGTGTGTTCGATCATTTTAATTGGACGGGTATATACGGGTAGTTTGGGTACCCGTTATCCGTCCCGTACGGGTAACGGGTACTCGTTAACCCTTACGTTGGGACTTGGGATGGACTTGGCTCTTCAAACGGGATTGGGTACCCATTTCAAACGGAACGAGTATCCCGTCCCGTTGCCCACCTCTATTTATTAGGGGTTGCTAATTCTGGCTCTAACTTTTGTATAATCGCCCTAATTTAAAATTTAAAATTACCACTTTATCCTTCTTTTTTATTATTAAAAAATATGTTATTCTAACAAACACTTCCAACAAATAACAAAATTTAACCGTTCACTGACGCCTCCACTACTCGCTGCCACCATATTCTCCACCAACCCACTCCGACGACAATATCAGATAAAAGGAGAGGATGTAGTATATTGGGGATTAACATCATCATCCACAATTCATTCTCACGTAATACAAAGTTACTAATATATTGAATTTGATATATAAATGAACAGATGTAATAACTGAATGCGAACAAGTATTCCACACCGGTGAAGATAAGAGATGTCGACCACAAGATGGAAGAGAGACTGTGCTACAATTAACATCATCATCCACAATTCATTCTCACGTAATACAAAGGTACTAATATATTGAATTTGATATATAAATGAACAGATGTAATAACTGAATGCGAACAAGTACTCCACACCGGTGAAGATCAGAGATGGTCGACCACAAGATGGAAGAGAGACTGTGCTACGACGGTGAGAAAGATGGGTGGAGGACGGTGAGAACGATAGGGTTAGGCGGTTAGCGACTTAAAGAATGCGCAACTGGAGGAGAAGGACAACGACATGGTGAACGAGGCGGGATTGGGTGGTCGTTGCGGAGGACGGTGGCGGTGGAATGGGGTGTTTGTTGGCGGAGGACTGTGGCGGTGGATTGGATGGATGCAGCGAAGGACTTCCAACTGCTCAGAGAAGGGTTACTATGCGTTTGGTTTGTGATTTTTTTTTTGCATTTTGTTTCTTGGACAGTTATGAAATTTCCATTTTTAAATTAGGGCGATAGTAGTAAAACTAGAGCGACATTTAGCCATCCAAATTTATTACCGCTGTGAAGGGCTACTCAAAAACTAGTAATTAATTAAAAACAAATACAAAATATACGAGAATAATAATACGCATCAAAGAGGAAAATAATGGAATCCTTACTTGGTTTCAAAGCAGTGTTCCTGTCTATAATCCATTGCATGTCAAAGCTTGATTGAAGCTTCTACACGCCAAAGAAAATGTGACCACCAACTCCTCTCTCTCTTGTGATCGGGACTCAGAAAAACCCAGGCCGTTGAGCTGTTGTTGTATTCTGTCGCCTCTCCCATCATTTCCACTTCCTCACCAGACACTCTTTGCTTCAAGATCCAGATACCTTTGCTGCTCTCAATATCTCATACCTTAGCCAACTAACGTTTTAGGTGAGACATCACCATGCTTTCATTCCTCTCACCCACTCACTCACTCACTCACTCACTCTTCTTCTTGTTTGCTTAATCAAGAGTCTTATAATGCTCACTGCAACCTCACATTCCTTGTGATCAACCTCAGAGAAAATTAACTCTCACACCTCCACATCTTTGAAAATGCCTGATGCTGAGGTCCAACGCAGTTGCCAATGGTGGTGGAGAAGATCCTTATCTCGACCACAATCGAGATTAATGTTCGTCGTCTCCCTCATTTTTGCAGTCATGCTCCATCATCCTGCAGGTAAAACTGCTTTCTTCTTCCTTCCTAACATTCATGACATCAACAGAACAAACATTGTTTTACTACCTATCCATCTCCTTTTGCAGGTGCATATGATCCATTGGACCCAAATGGTAACATAACCATCAAATGGGACATCATGTCTTGGACTCCGGATGGCTATGTGGTACATTATATATATAACTAACTGAATCTCAAACTCACTTGCTCCACACACAAAAAAAGCTATCTTCCTGAATTTGATGAGCTTATTATCTTCCTTTCTCTGTGCAGGCAACTGTAACGATGAGCAACTTCCAGATGTACCGGCACATAATGAGCCCAGGTTGGACATTGTCATGGTCATGGGCAAAGAAGGAAGTGATATGGTCAATGGTGGGAGCTCAAACCACTGAGCAAGGTGACTGCTCCAAGTTCAAAGGCAACGTACCGCATTGCTGCGAGAAGACCCCCACAGTTGTGGACCTGCTCCCTGGAGTGCCCTACAACCAACAATACAGCAATTGTTGCAAAGGAGGTGTGTTGGCAGCTTGGGGGCAGGACCCTTCAGCTTCTGTCTCGGCTTTCCAGGTCAGCGTTGGCCAAGGTGGAACTTCCAACAAAACGGTCAAGCTTCCCAAGAACTTCACTCTTCTAGGTCCTGGTTTAGGCTACACCTGTGGACCTGCAAAGGTTGTTCCTTCTACTGTGTTCATGACTCCTGATCGCCGCCGGAAAACACAAGCACTCAGTGAGTCTTTCTTCCCTTCCCTTCTTCATTGACAGTGGGATTGATGATAAGAAATGTTGTGTTTGTTTTTGGTGGTTGTTGTTTTTTGTGACTGCAGTGACTTGGAATGTAACATGTACTTACTCACAGTTCCTGGCCTCCAAGCATCCAAGCTGTTGTGTGTCATTCTCAACATTCTACAATGAAACAATCACTCCTTGCCCTAATTGTGCATGTGGTTGCCACAGTAAAAGCAGCTGTATAACGTAATCTAAATCCTCCCTGTTTTATTATAATTTTTTTTCTCCACCCTTCTCTCCTTGAAGCTTGCAAATTCTGAATCTGGAGAGTGTTTGCAGGAGCAACTCGAAGGAAGCTCACAAGAAGGGAATCAACACGCCGAAGAAGGACAACACGCCGCTGCTGCAGTGCACTCACCACATGTGCCCGGTTCGAGTGCACTGGCACGTCAAGGTGAACTACAAAGAATACTGGCGGGCAAAGATTGCAGTCACCAACTTCAACTACAGGATGAACTACACGCAGTGGACTCTCGTCGTTCAGCATCCTAACCTGAACAATGTCACCCAGGTCTTCAGCTTCGATTACAAGCCTCTTGTCGCTTACCAGTCGATAAGTGAGTTTCGCCAAGGAAATTGTTTTGCTGGATGTTTTCTCCTCAATGTTTGTGTGGATGTTGACTATATATGGTTGTGGTTTTGGCAGATGATACTGGGATGTTCTACGGGATGAAGTTCTACAATGACCTGATAATGGAAGCTGGGCCATTTGGGAATGTGCAGTCTGAAGTGCTTCTTAGGAAGGACCAGAATACCTTCACCCTCAAGCAAGGATGGGCATTTCCTCGGAAGGTTTACTTCAATGGGGATGAGTGCATGCTGCCACCACCTGATGCTTACCCTTACCTCCCAAATCTTGCCTCCGCAACTCCTCTCCCATTTCTCACAGCAGCAGCAGCTTGGTTTCTTCTCATGTTGCAGTACATCTTGTGATAAACCCTACTCCACAAGGAAGTGTGATTGTGATTGAAGGTTCAGCAAAAGAGATTATGAAGAGTGGTTTCAGAAGGAGCTGGAATGCCGTACCCGGTAAGTAAACATCATTGAACCTGGAAATTTTTGCCACCCAGATACGATGCTCCGACCATATGTATAGTTCAGTTGTGGAGACTGTTTGCATGTGAGAAAAGAGCCTGGTAATAAATAGCGTGTACTCCAAGCATTCTTGAAACTTCAAACTTTTGTCACTGCTAAAAGGGAGTTGGAATTATTAATGTATCTGCAGTAACTTTTCAACTTTGTTCAACTTGTAGTGTTTTTGCGTTTAAGAGCTATGTCAAATAACAACTTCAAAAACAAAAATCTGAGCCACAAACCTAGGGACCAAAAACAATACATTATTGTGGATTCTTCGTAGATTAACCATACAAAAGAGAGAGATTATATAAATAATAGAGGGTGATATTGAAGTCTGGTATATCAAGTGTCTGACATAAATACGTATACACAAAAAGAACTCTAGCTCTCAACAAACAAAAAGTAGAGCACAACATAAATTCAATTTGCCCAAACAGAATTGCAGAGCAGATATCTGTGGTTACAAGCAATCGTCCTTTTCTGCAATCCCATTGAGCTTCTTCTTAACATGCAGCCAGCCAGACACCTGGAGTAATAGTCTGTAAAATTTCCTCAATGGTTTCTGTATCTCAGACCAAATACAACATCCCAGATTGTCTTGCTCTGTTCTATGTCGCTGATTCATCACGCATAAGCTAAGAGGACGATGAAAGACAGCAGTGCTGTCGTGAGTGCTTGAAGTAGAGACATAGTTGATTGGTAACCATCATTAGGCAACCAGGGATATGCATCTGGTGGAGGCATCACACAGTTATCACCATTGAAGTAAATCCTCCTGGGGAAAGCCCATCCCTTCTCGAAGGTGAATGTTGACTGATCTTTCCGAAAGAGAAGCTCTGACTGGACATTCCCCAGGGGACCAGCTTGTGACAGGAAATCATTGTAGAACTTAACTCCCCATAGCATGGCTGTATCATCTGCTCAAAGAAAGAAGAGAATTTGCAAATGACATCAGGACTACTATGATTAAAAATTTTGATGAAGAGAGGATCATAGTCTCATTAGAAATGGTAGTAGACTTACTGAAGCCGTCATAAGGAGTTAATGACTTGTAGTTGAAGCTAAAAATCTGGGTAAGGTTATCGAAATTGGGGTGTTGCATAACTAGATTCCACTGTGTGTAATTCATTCTGTAATTGAAATTAGTGATGGTGACTTTCACCCTCCAGTACTCCTTGTAGTTAAGCTTCACATGCCAATGGATTCGGATTGGACACATGTGGCTGGTGCATTGAACCAGAGGAGTTAGGTCGGTTTTGCCTGGAGGTGAAACTACTGAGGCTAAGTGTGGAGTTTTCGAACTGCAAGAATAGCAAGTAAGGCCAACACAGTCAAAGCAGGAGTTAGCATTCTTGAAAGATCTTCAAATCATTGGTGTAAGCATGACAAATAAAGACGAGCAAGTATCATACTTTACACAGCTCCCAGCCGTCTTGTTTTGGCAACCACAGGCACAAGTTGGACAGCCCACTATGGTGTCATTATAGAAGGATGAGAGGGAAACACAACAGGTTGGCGTCTTTTGCGCCAGGAATTGTGAGTATGTGCAAGTAACATTCCAGGTCACTGCCATGACATTTAGACAGTGTTAACAACTTCTAACAAACGCAATCAGCTTATTATGGAGAAATTATAAAGTAAAAGTATAAGAACTTACTCAAAGCTTGAGTGACCCTCCTTTTGTCAGCAGTCAGAAATTTAGTAGGTCTCACGACCTTTGCCGGGCTGCAAGTATAACCAGGACCGGGTGCTAGCAGAGTGAAGTTCTTGGGCACCCTGACAGTTTTGTTAGTGGTTCCAGCAGCTCCAACACTGACTTGGAAGGAGGAAACTGCGCCGGCTGGGTCCTGTGCCCAAGCATTAATCACTCCGCCTTTGCAGCAGTTTGCAATCTGCTGGTTGTAAGGAGTTCCAGGCAACAAGTCCACCACAGTTGGTGTCTTCTTACAGCAATGAGGAACATTTCCTTTATACTTGGAGCAGTCCCCTTGTTCGGTAGTTTGGCTGCCCACCATACTCCAAATGACTTCCTTTTTAGCCCATGTCCATCCCAGAGTCCACCCTGGTGCTTGAATATGACGGTACTGCTGGAAGTTGAACATGGTAACTGTCGCCTGCCAAGGAATAGAGGTAAAAAACCTCCATCAGTTTATAAACTCATTCACAATCCTAATGAAAGTACCAAACCCCCTCAAACTTTTCCATCACTAGCAACTTCTGGACCTATTTGCATCGGGAATTGAAGTTATGACAAGATTAAACGGGAAAATGGAACGGATTGGTACTTACAACATAGCCATCTGGAGTCCAGCTTATGATATCCCATTTGATGGTGATGTTCCCATTAGGATCCAAAGCATCATAAGCTTCTGCAAAAGGAAATCAGTTAAAGTGACCAACATAAGCTTTCCAGATTGACAAGATCTCTTCTTTAAAAACAAAGAGAAAGGCAAGTACGACAGAACTGAGCAAGACATAATAAGCATTTCCTTCTACAGTGAGCACCCCTTAAGAATAAGCCACCGACAGAACCAGTATGGAGAAAATGCTCTCCAAAGAAGGAAACAAACTCCAAGATCTCAACTTTCCAACTTCAATCACCAAACCCAGACTCGAATTTCCCAAAATTTAATCCAACAACTCATCAAATAAACAAATATATGTACGATACACAGAATTCCATGAGGAACTCAATTAGGGAAAAGAAGTAGCAGAAGAACCCACCTGTGGAGGTGAAAGTAGAGGAAGAAAGCAAGACAAGCAACAATATCGTGGGAGTGCAGAGCTTGGTGAGCAGACCAGCAAATGAAGGGAAATGGGGCTCCATTAATTACTGGAATGGAGCTTGCCCGCAGATCCTTTTCCGATGATGAATGTGGAGAAGCAACTAGTGCAGCTAATAGGGTCTGTTGAAGAGGTATAGCTCACAAGATCTGCATCAAGATGGGAGTGTTGAGATTTGAGAATAGAAAGACAGCTGTGGTAGTGAGAAATGACTTTTCTCACATGGGTCGAAAGGAGAATAATTAAGCTTCTGGCTTTCAGAGCTAAAAACTGGCCACTTCTTATTGACAACTCTACTCAGGGAGCTAGTGGCCTCTCTTGGCTCCATGAGTCGATGACGTGTATTTCCGGTCTAATTACAATTATGTCCTTCTTCTCGTGTATTTTCCTGTGTGGAAGGTGCAACCTTGCTGTCATTAAATTAAACTAATTATTACGAGTAGTTGTTTTAGCAGGTAAAGTCAATGCCGCTTCTGTTTTATCATATCGTTGCGTTTTTAATATAGTGCTTAATTTGATTGATAATTTTGACCTAAAAAGTTACTAATTTGGTCGCTATTTACTTGCGAGCCACATCTAATGAAAGACGGGTGCTCAGCAGCACCACTATCTATCGTCTAAGAGGTGGTTTGGTATTTGCATTTATTAGAATCAATGTATTTTTGCATTCTAAATTAATGTAATGTATTATTTAATTGTGTGTATTTTAGACATTTGATAGTTGTAATTATAATGCTAAGAATAATATGAAAATATACTTTTTGAAAAAAAAGTCATGTTTACCCTTCCTTTTAGATATAAAAGTCAATCATTTATAAAAGTTTATAGGGACATACAAGGAAAGAATATTGATTTCACATTCACTAAAGGATGGCAATCGATAGGATTCTCCAATCCAACCGATTCACCCGCTCAAATATCCATTGAGTTCGAGCAATTCTAAACCAAGCCAACGGGTACATGAACTACGGACATAATTCAAAATATTATGTTTCGAACAAATTAATTATAATATACGAACATAATTACTCAAATACATTGTCATAAAAACCAATAATATACATAAGTTATCCATATATCCTACTAATTGGTTAATACTAAAAGTAACATAAAAAAACTATACATATAGTTCAATATTTATCAAACTCATGGTACAAAACAACACCGTTTTGTCTCCCTGATTCGGGTCGTGTTTTAGCCAAACTAGTACCTGACCCAACAAGCCAATTCTAGAAGCGGGTTTTACCCGCACCCAACCCAAAACCTGTCAATGTTGGATTTTATATGTTTGACCTGGTTGGTTCGAGTTGAGTAGCCATTGCTCCGGATGCTATTGTCATCCCTAATGTAAGCTCGTAGCAACCATAAATGTTTTGGAGATAAATATTAATTACCAACGAATTAACATTTGATAATTTGTAGTTTTTATTATCTTCTTAGATAATTATGAACCAAAAAGTTTGAATCAGTATGTAGTGAATTTTGTCCTTCCATATAAGTTTAGAGTATAATTGTCTTTGTTTTATTTGGAGCTAATAGAAAAACAAGTTAATAATCGCCAATCTTATAAAGAGATGCCACTAATACAAATTTACACGGATAATAAGAAGTAATTTTTTTTATAAAATGTGAAAAAAATATTATATAGACAATAGTTAACTAGGACGACCATATCGACAAAAATGCCCATAAACTAATTACCACTAACGTGAGACACAACAAGAATTACTGGGGGAAAATGTCACACACAATAAGGATAAAAAAATAACTTTGAAATCACACGCAAACTATTTAGAATATTTCAAATAATTTAGTTGGTGTCATCTGTTATATACTCTCTTATTCATTTTTGGATGTCTATTTTTGTTCTCCCAAAGAATGTTCTTGATCAAATACATAAGTTGTGCTCTGATTTGGTTTGGCGATGGATCTGGCAAGGCCAAGGTTGCGTGGAGTGTTACAGCCACTCCTAAACAAGTGGGTGGGTTAGGGCTTAAGGATCTTCACACATGGAATATTGCATGATGTGGTAGGTTGCTCTGGCTACTGTTCTTGCAAGGGGTAGCTTTTGGGTAGTTTGGATCAGAAGATACAGACTCAAGGGTCTATACATTTGGTCTTTACTTGATGCCAATGTTGGCTCTTAGGTCTGAAAGCAAGTATTGAGATTTAGAAGCTGGTTCCAGAATCGAATTTGATGAGCCACGGGCCGAGCCAGCTAGGAGGAAGCCCAGCCGCGAGCCCAAACCGAACCCACGTTACGTGGAGTAGTGCAACAGCTGTTTATTATTATTATTATTATTATCATTCTCATCATTGTAATAGGATAGGCCAAAACTATTTAAAGTTTTGTTATGGAATAAGAACGATAACTCAATCCCCAAACAAAAACCCTACGGCTTCTTTCTGCGCCTAGCAGGAAAACTCCCGAACCGAGAGTTTCGGTTCATCAACTTGGTATCAGAGCCATGGACCACGACGACGCGTCAGTCGCTCATCGCTTGCGGCGTGAAATGAGAAGCTATGGGAGATGGTGCGTACCAGTGGCGTACAAAGTGCTGCCCTACATGAGGAATGGGCGCGAGTTCTGCCCGGGTTGCAGCTCAACCCGACCCGTGCTGCCGCCACTTGCGGGGGACGGAGCGACGCCAACGTAGCCGCCGTCGACGCCAACATTTTCCAGGCAACCGCGGACGTGGAGATTTCCCTTTGCGCTGCGACCGACCTTCATGGCCCTAAGACCTTGCGCTTTCGGGCGCGAGTTCATGATGTCGACGCTATTCTCCTGATGGATAGTGGCTCGACTCACAATTTTGTTTCGGCACACAAGGCCGAGGAGATGCGGCTGGCGGTGGAGCCGGTGAAGCCCTTTCGCGTCAAGGTCGCGAACGCCGAGACTCTCGAATGCACGACGCGTTGTCCGGACGTAGTGATTAGCGTCCAAGGCAAGGATTTGCAGGTCTCCTTATTTTTTTTGCCGGTATTGGGCTCGACATGGTCCTTGGGGTACAGTGGATGGAGGAACTCGGGCCTGTAATCTGTGATTGGGGCGGGTTGACGATGAAGTTCAAATGGCGGGACAAACCTTACGAGCTCCACGGTCTCGCCTCTAGTATCCGGTGTGCGGGGTTGGACGAGCTACTCCACGAGGAGGGCACTGGCATGGGCCATTTGTCTACCGATCGAGGCGGCGGACCTGACGCCACTGGCCCCGGAGATGCGGCACTTGGTGCGCGAATTTGAGGGCCTTTTCGAAGAGCCCAAGTCCCTTCCCCCGCAACATTTGATGGACCATCGCATTAATTTGCACCCCGGGGCCGAACCGATTAATGTACGACCATATCGTTATGCATACCACCAAAAGGCCGAGATCGAGAAGCAGGTACAGGAGATGCTGGCAAGCGGCCTCATTCGCCCCAGTTCTAGTCCCTTCTCGTCACGCGTCTTACTCGTTAAAAAGAAAGATGGCTCTTGGCGCTTCTGTATAGACTATCGGGCATTGAATCAGGTGACGATTAAAGATCGATACCCCATACCCACTGTCGACGACATGCTCGACGAGCTCCATGGGGCTCAGTACTTCACTAGGCTCGATCTGTGTGCCGGGTACCATCAAATTCGGATGCACGACGAGGACATAGGCAAAACTGCCTTCCGAACGCACAACGACCATTACGAGTACTTAGTCATGCCGTTTGGTCTCTGTAATGCGCCCTCAACCTTTCAGGCCGCCATGACTGATCTCTTTCGTTCAGCCCTACGTCGGTATGTCCTCATTTTCTTTGATGATATATTGATCTACAGTCGTACGTGGACCGAACATGTTGAGCAGGTACGTATGGTTCTGGCGACCCTCCAACAGAGCCACTACTTCGTCAAATTTCCTAAATGTGCATTCGGCCTCCAGGAGCTTGAGTATTTAGGGCATATTATTGGCCGTGACGGGGTCAAAGTGGATCCCCAGAAGGTGCAGGCGATGCTAAGCTGGCTGCAACCCACCTTAGTGACCGAGTTGTGCAGATTCTTGGGATTGACGGGCTACTATCGCAAATTTGTCAAGGGCTATGGTGCCATCGCCAAACCCCTAACGAACCTCTTGAAGCATGGGGCCTATATGTGGCACCCCAGGCCGAGGCAGCATTCCAGGACCTCAAGAAGGCCATGGCTTCGGCACCGACGCTTGCCATGCCAAATTTTCAGCTACCATTTGACATAGAGGCGGATGCTTCGGGTACAGGGGTTGGCGTTGTACTCTCTCAGCAAGGCCATCCAATCGCGTATATGAGCCTGGTCTTGGGTCCCGCAAAGGCTGCATGGTCTACATACCAGAAGAAGATGCTTGCGATCATTAAAGCCATCAAGATGTGGCGCCCGTACCTCCTAGGCCAGAAATTTCATATCTATACCGATCAACGGAGTTTGAAGTATCTCTTGGAGCAGAGGATTGCGACCCCCGAGCAGCAAAAATGGATCACTAAACTCTTGGGGTATGATTACGAGATTCACTACAAAACGGGGTATAGTAATCGCGTTGCGGATGCGCTATCCCGACGGTCTGATGGGCCGCAGTTGCTGGCTCTATCGCTGCCAATAGCACCTCTTTGGGATGAGCTACAGACTGTCGTCCACCAGAACCTTTATCTCCGGTCTGTACGCGACAAGGCTCTCTCTCCTGACCCGGGGCACTATGCGTATCGCCAGGGACTGGTCTTCTACAAAGACCGCGTGGTACTGCCACCGTTAACGAGTTTGGTTACTATTGTTTTGCAGGAATTCCATGACGCACCGATGGGTGGTCATTCCGGGGCACTATGCGTATCGCCAGGGATTGGTCTTCTACAAAGACCGCGTGGTACTGCCACCGTTAACGAGTTTGGTTACTATTGTTTTGCAGGAATTCCATGACGCACCGATGGGTGGTCATTCCGGGGCGCAGCGCACCCTCGCGCGGCTCGCGGGTCATTTCTATTGGCCCCAGATGGCCAAGGCCGTGCGGGAGTACGTCGCTTCCTATGATACCTGTCAACGAGTCAAGTCGGAGTCTTTGTCGCCAGCATGCCTGCTCCAGCCGCTCCCGATTCCGTGCCAGGTATGGGAGGATATCTCCATGGATTTCGTTGAAGTGTTGCCGGTGTCAGGGGGCCGGTCAGTTCTATTGGTTGTGGTGGATCGGTTGAGCAAATATGCTCATTTCATGGCGCTACGACATCCTTACAAGGCTCGAACGGTGGTGGAAGAATTCATCCAAGGGGTGGTGCGGCATCATGGAATTCCGGGGTCGATC